TTTGCGGCCACCACTGCTGGCCTCAATAAAGTTTTTACCTTCATCCTATCCCTCGCTGACTCGGGGCTTACCCACTCCTCGTTGAAGGTTTACCTGGCCGCGTTATCGGCTTTTCATGTTCAGGTTGATGGTTACACCTTGTTTTCCCATCCTGTTACCAAACGTTTCCTGAAGGGTCTCCTACGTTTGTACCCTCCAGTCAAAGCTCCAGCACCTTTATGGGACCTTCCCCTGGTCTTGCGCCAGCTGACAAGACGGCCCTTCGAACCCCTCGCCACCTGCCAGCTGAAGCTCCTGGCCTGGAAGACGGCCTTCCTCGTCGCCGTCACCTCGGCCAGGCGAGTCGGTGAACTCCTGGCTTTTCGGCAGGACTCGCCATACTTGTCCTTCCTCCTGGATGGCGTCCGCCTGGTGCCGGACATTTCATTTTTGCCCAAGGTGGTCTCTGAATTCCATCTACAGTCCGAAGTCTTCCTCCCTGATTTTTACCCTGTCCCAAAATCACCGGAAGACAGACTTATGCACACGCTAGACGTGAAGCGGGCCCTCCTCTTCTACCTGAATAGGACACGCCCCACGAGGCAAACCCCTAAGCTGTTTGTCTCATACGCTGCACCCCGTGTGGGCACTCCAATCACGGCCCAACGTCTGTCCAGGTGGATCGTAGGTCTGATAGAACTCTGTTACCTACTGGCGAAGCAGCCCTTGCCAGGCCCAGTCCGGGCTCATTCCACCAGGGCTGTTGCTACATCCACTGCGTTCCTGAAGGGAGTACAGCTGCAAGACATTTGCAGAGCCGCAACCTGGGCCACGCCTAATACATTCATCAGGCACTACGCCCTAGACGTCCACCAGTCCACCAGTGACAGTCTGGGACGTCAGGTTTTGGCCTCGGCTAAGCAGTAAACACCTGACAGCACCCGCCTCCAGGTAAACTACTGCTCGCTAATCTCCCATTGGTGTGAAGCACAGAGACCACGAAGAAGATAAACAGGTTGCTTACCAGTAACTGGTGATCTTCGAGTGGTCATCTGTGCATTCACACCACCCGCCCTCCTGCCCCGCTGCTGTCTTCTTCTACGTGATTTGTTAGGAGATTGATGCGCGGCGGTTGGTAGGAACTGGCGGGATGTCCGTGCCTGCCCTTCTGGGCATGCTCACTGGGGCTCCTGAGCATGCTCAGTGAGCATGCCCAGAAGGGCAGGCATGGACATCCCGCCAGTTCCTACCAACTGCCGCGCATCAATCTCCTAACAAATCACGTAGAAGAAGACAGCAGCGGGGCAGGAATCCCATTGGTGTGAATGCACAGATGACCACTCGAAGATCACCAGTTACTGGTAAGCAACCTGTTTTTAACACATACAAGTGAATATGTGGGCTTTTCTGCATGCTTGACTTAATCCTGATTTTCTTCCATGAAGATATATTCAGGTGGGTAGCTGTGTTGGTCTGAAATAGCAGAACAAAATTTGACACCAATGGCACCTTTAAGATCAACAAAGTTTTATTCAAGGTATGAGCTTTCATGTATGCACACTTTGAGAGCCAGTTCGGTGCAGTGGTTAAGTGTGTGGACTCTAATCTGGGAGAACCGGGTTTGATTCCCCACTCCTCTACTTGCACCTGCTGATGTGACCTTGGGTCAGTCACAAGCTCTGGCACAGCTGTCCTTGAAAAAGAGCAGTTTGTGTCAGAGTTCTCTCAGCCCCACCCACCTCACAGGGTGTCTGTTATGGAGAGGGGAAGGGAAAGGAGTTTGTAAGCCGCTCTGAGACACCTTTGGTAGTGAAGGGCGGGGTATAAATCCAATCTCTTCTTCTTCAAAGGGAGGTGTGATCGTGCAAATGCGGGTCAAATTCCTCCGGAGGAGATAGCCCCATTTTTTTCTGGCGCGTGTGACCACAACCAAAGTGACTCTGTGATGTGGCATCTATAAACTGATATTATTTACTTGCTGCTTTCATGACCTTAAAACACCTCCCTAAATGCTCTTCTTTTTTAATGTGAATCATTCCAAAATATTAATAGATACATTCTGCCAAGTAATGTAAGTAGGATATTCTCATGCTTAAAATGTTTTTTAATTAGATTTCTTGTTGAAGCAGGATGAATGAGAGACAGAATTCTTTTCAAAAGAGTTTCATAATTTTTCTACCTCTTTGAAGGGGCAGAAATTCTCACTGCATTCCTGTTTTATGCCCATTTGTTTTGAAGAACTTGTCAGGAGATTACAATTGACTGAATACTAAACCTATCATTATAATGCTATATCAATTTTTAGTGGGTTTTTTTTTTTAAGTCATCTTGGGGGGGGAGTGGTTTGACGATGATGACAGTCCAATTATCAAAAAGTGGGCTGGAGGTGGGTGGGAGAGGGTGGGACAAAGAAAACCAACAGAAATGTTAAGTGTGGGGGGAAAGGCAATTCAAAAAACTTCCAGAAAAAGATTGTGGTAAAAGTGGTCACAAAACAACCAGAAATAACGGGTAGGGAGGGAGAGCAAAAACTAAAGGCACAAAAATGTGTGCGGAAATCAGGGAATAGGCTGAAGCAATATGGGCCAGAACCAACTGGGGGGGGGGAGCCCAGTGTCTGCACACAAAAAGCAGAAAAGCCCAGTGTCTGCACACAAAACTCTTCCCAGCTTGTGCATAAAACTTCTTTCGATTCTGGTGGTAGACAATAATTAATTCCTGTATTGTTTCATTTATATGACTACATCTTTTCTCAAAGCATGAATTTAAGGATTCTATACTTGTTCAAAGTAGAATCAAGTACCAGTATAAGAATTATTTGTGCTGAAATTACTTTTAAGTAGGGCAGAATACTACCAAAACTGCTCCTTAAAATCAAACATGATCCCAGAGAGCTACATTCTACAGAAATCTTGTTCTGTAACATCCTCACCTGGATTTTGAAATAAGCACACTTTTCATACAGTGGATGTTTAAGTGCACAACATTTTAGCCCAGTATGCTAGCCTCTGGATTTCTCAGTTCCTTCATACTTATTTTTAAAAACGAACATTACTGCTACATGTTTTTGTGTGACATTTAAATTGCTACTCATTTATGTATCTTTTATGTTGTGATCATTGTTTTAATACATTTGTAAACAGCTTTGAATAGTAGATAGAGTATAAATATTTTAAATACATAATAAATATAACATGGACAACCTAGGCAGAAGTGACCATCCATATAAGAAACACGCCTATTTTTTGCTAGTATAGGTTTCTAATTACTGATTACAGTAGTTCAAGACGCGGACAGGACACCACCTCATGGGCTTTAATTACAGGAGGGTAGATTTTGGTTAAATACTAGGAGAAATTTTCTAATTGTTAGAACAGTCTGACAATTAAATGAATTAGGTAGTGCAGAGACTTCTTGGAAGTCACTTCCTGTTTGAAAAGGGAAGTGGCAGGATAGCACACTAGGAGTTCCACGGTCTCTGCATTGAGAAGGAAGTTGGGTTAGATGGCCTATAAGATCCTTTCCAATACTAGGACTCTATGAGATTCTAGAACTTTTGTGTTATGATAGTCTAGCTCTGGTAGCATTCTCATGGACATGGTTTTCTTGTGAATTATGAATTAAAATATACAATAGCTTGTGTGATATTCTGTTACAAAAGTTCAATGGTATACATTAAATATTTATATATTATTACTATATTTTGTAGGTATGAATAACCGAGAAGTCCTGGAGCAAGTAGAACGGGGTTACAGGATGCCATGCCCTCAGGATTGTCCCATCTCCCTGCATGAGCTCATGATCCACTGCTGGAAGAAAGACCCAGAGGAACGCCCAACTTTTGAGTACTTGCAGGGTTTCCTTGAAGACTATTTTACTGCAACTGAACCACAGTACCAGCCAGGTGACAACCTGTAAATTTTTGGTCTGTGCAGACTTCCACTATCAGGTATCCCACTCACCGCTGACATACCGTGACTGGCTGCTCCCAGGAGCAGCATCTTAAAGCACTGGGATGTGCTGGGTCCTGAAGATGAGACCTTCTAACTACCTGCCCAAAAGATCTGAATGTCTTCTCTGGACAGAAAGTGAACATTTGGTTTTGTTTTTAATCAAAGACTCTGAATCTGCATTGTTTTGATGTTATGTACACTGCAAAAACTTTGTTTAGTGTAAATAGTAATTCAGTGCCAATAACTGATCCTAGTGCTTTCCTTTTTTAAAAAATAATAATAATGCAAAACTATGTGATTTTAACTAGTCTTTTCCTGATTCACTTAAAAGTATTATTTTCCAAAAGTGGCCTCTCTTTCTCTACATTTTTTCACATTTTAACAAAATAAAATCAGGATCAGTGTCCTGGTTTTTTGTTTTTTATTTTATTTTTTGTTCTGTTGTTTGCTTTTTATATATAAAATGTATGTAAAAATATTCATACTTGTATATACTAGTCAGTGGGTGCTATTGCAGAAGAAACATTTCAAAAACTGATTAGCCATGCTGCAAAGCACCTGGGTGGGGGGACTAATTTCACTGTAGACCTGAAACACTGGTAAGATTCTGAAAACCAGTATGTTTTTGACTTTTCCCAAGCATGACTTTTTTAATTGGATTGCACTTTTTGGTTTGACTATATACCTGTAGGTTGTTGTAATTTTTGATCTTTCAGAAACTATGTGCAGCGTTTCCAGCAACGTTTGACAACTGCGTGATTTGATTTTGTGATCAAGATTAAAACAAACTTATTAAAGCAAGGGAACACAATTACCCATTTGGACTGGAAGGTTGAAACTGCAAGTACTTTCTTGTATTAAAATATGTATGCTGAAAAAATTCAGATTTTTTAAATTGAATAAACATTGCAACCACATGGAAATAGTCTCAACCTCATAGCATTTTAGTCATGTCCACCTGCCTAACTATTCATCAAGCATCAGCTATAAGCTTTTGCATGTACCATTTCCCATCATAAAGTGGGTGTTTTAGATGTCCTGTACTGCTAATGAAAATTACTTTCAATATGATGACAACTTTTCCAGTGGAATTACTATGCACTTATCTCATGGGAAATGGGAGGGAGGAAGTGGAGGGATGCACACAAGTATTACTTTTTTTAGTTATCTGTTTGTAGCAGCCTTGAATTACGTACGTTTAACCAAAAGAAACAAAAATCCCATTCTTTCTATTTCCCTTTAAGTTTTTAATAATTTTAAAGTCTTAATTACATTTTGTTGTTTATTTGCAAAATAAAATTTTGAAATGTTTAACTGTCTTAATTTAGTAATTAAAAGAGAGCATTTTACATTTGGATTTTGTTCTTTCATTTAAATCACAGCTGGGTGAGGTTTCTAACAGAGGACTATGAGTATCCTTAGCCATTTGGCTCCTTAACATCTATGTTCATTGTTATGAAGCTAACAAAAAACATCTGGATTCAGCCTAGGAAAGCTGTGAAGATTTTTGTTCTTAAAATTAATTATTCTAGAATGACTTTTATTGAGCATTAGTGCATAGTTAAGTGTTAGAACACAAGACTTTTCTGTGTGGAAAGAATGTATCTCTCCCACTCCCCTAAATATTGGCACTTGGAGCTCTATCCCAGTTTAGTTTAATCAAACCAAAGAGGCAAACCTTTCAAAATCAAGAAATAATCTAAGGTGAATGTAAGTAAAAAGACTTACAGTCATTACAAGAAATGTTAAGGGTGGAATGCTTGCAGGAGCATTTGTTGGGGGTCACTGGAACTTCAAAACTACAAGAAAAAGTTCCTTGATGTAATAACATTATTATGCACATCAATCTTAACAAAGCTCTGCCACAGTTTCTAATAGGCAGCTATCTACTAGGAGGAGGAGCAAATCTAAATCCACTTTTTCCTCCTGAAGAGCACTATTACTGCTAATCTAATGGAACTGTGTGTGCTTAACCCCAGCTACATTCATCTACTTATTCACTTCCCCATCTAGCTATAGATATATACATAGTAGTATGTCTCCACCTGGAAAAGCCCCTCAGTTTCTAATCAACAAGTACTTGTAAAAAACTTAAAATAAATCCAGGGAGGCATTTTTCCTGTATTCATTTGCATTTTACACATATGATAGAACTGTTGTGTTTATATTTTGTATGATACATCTTTCTTTTCTTTTCTTTTAAATTTTATATTGAAAGAAATGCAACAAAACAGCAAAAATAAAAAACGCATTACAGTCAAACAACAGAATATGAAGTGAAAACAGAACTGTAAAATCTAAGAATAGACAAGGAGTAACCAAGATACCCCAACACATTCCACAGAGTAACCTTCGCATCCGTCAAAATCAACCCAAAGTGAGATTAATTTCAGCCCTCCATGAACAAAAATGGTGATTGAGCCTGAGAGAGTCATAAAGTATTTTGTTAGCATCTCTATGACCTTTTTAATGTGGATAAATAGTTAAAAACAGACCCAAGGGATGTAGGAAGCCTTTGATGGAAGAATGTCATTTTCCCACATATATTGAAGAATCCTTGACCAGACCGCAACAAACCGATCATAACCTTTAGATGTGACCATAGCCGTGTTTTGCGTGACTTGTATAAGTTTGTCTAAAATAAACTGATCCCACACTTTTTCAAACCAGGTTTGAATTGAAGGAGGCAAACTGGCTTTCCAGGCAGAAGCAATAGCTAGTCTTGCAGCTGCTAACAGTTTGGAAATGAGTTCCTTCTGGGCCTTGGTAGCAGAAGTCAGGTCAAGCAAATCAAGAAGTGCAAGTTCAGGGCAGATAGGTAGCGATTGTGAAGTGATCTCATTTATTTTCCCGATAACCTCTACCCAGAAGGCATTTATGATTGGGCACTCCCACCAGCAGTGCAAATATGACCCTATGTTTCCACACTTCTTCCAGCAGCATGAGCTCACTGTTGGATTCATCTTGTTTAGCTTTTCTGGTGTATAATACCACCTAGTGACCAGCTTAAAAAATTGTAAACGGATGGTAAAGATTCTAGAATGATTGGTTGGTGAGTTCCAGATTTCAGTCCACACTTGATCCGGTATATTCATCATTAAGTCCTCCTGCCAGCGAAGTTGATGTCTTTGCAGTGATTGCGTTTCTGCCTCTTGAAGTAGTTTGTATAAATTCACCATCAGTCCCTTGGAAGAGTCAGGGTAGATCAACAAGATGTTTTCCAATCCAGAAAGGGGTCTATTAAAAGTCCCCTTGGTATCCAAAAATTCCATTAGGTTTTTCAATTGTAGGTAACTGTGCCAGGAGAAGCTTACCCCAGCCTGTTCTTCAAAATATGCTTTTTCTCGCATTTTCCCACGCAAAATGAAGTCAATCGGCCAAGAGAATCCCGCTCCTATCCAATCTTTCTTTGCCCCTATCTCCTGTGCTTGTTGAAACCAAACTTGATTCACAATGGTGGTAAGTGGCGATATATCTTTCTTTATCACCACTAAATTCTTAAATTTAAAAAATTGGAAAGTTGAGCCATTGCAGTAAAGGTACATTAAGGCTGCGATCATACTCACAATTAGACCCGACATAGGTGCAAATGCCGGGCGGATTTAAAGGGTGCGATCAGACAACAACATCTGGGAAGCATCCCGCAGCCGTCAGCAGAAGTGGAGTTAAAAGACACCATGGAAAATCCGGTAGTAAACAGGTTGTGACGGGCCACGGACGGACTTTCCCGTGTCTGATCGCTCCAGTGCGCTCTCATGGTCTCAGGATGGTCTGATCAGGCCATCCCAACTCTGTGCCATTGTTGTTTCCCCCTTCAAAGTATGCGCATCATCGCAAACTCTGTAGGGAGCCCTCAGTGCAGAGATGCGATTCATCGATCCCCCATTTTAAGCTCATGAGCAAAAAACAGCACAAAAAACACCCGACTCGCCCACAGTTGCATCTGATCACACACTGATGGACTGCGCACGCAGTCCAGTTTGGTGGAGAGTCAGTTTGGTGTAGTGTTGGGTTTTTTTAATTATATTTATTGGGTTTTACAGTATAAGCCTATATCACACACACACACACAAGCTCATCAACAAGATTACATACATTTTCCCATAACATCACTTTTCCCTTCCCAACAACACAGAATAGCGTATCATTTACCCATACAATATCTATTATCTTCAATCTTAATATCATATCTGTATTGCGTAGCCACTTCTAGTTCTATTTCCTTTAAAGTATTTATGCTGTCTTTACAATACTATATTGAGAATTCCCATCAGCGCTATAAAACATTCATGCTAGTTCTTATTAACTTCTCCTAACTCTGTTCCTCTAATAATCTGTTGGTTTCTTATTTACAATATAGGGACATATTATTAATTCTTCATTTCATTTTCTTTTATTACCCCTTATACCCTTCACTCCATCTTTACAACCATTAGATTAATTTAACCTTCTGATAACAGTCTTATATCCAATTTCCCTTTCAAGTTCGCTCTACAAATTTTTCAGCTATAAGCTGCCAAAGCTTCATCCATCTTTATTCGGCCTATAATTAATCTGATTCCATCATGCCCACACTAGATTGTTTTGCAAGGTTAAAGACGACCCAAACACCACCAACCCTTCTAAACATAATCACACCTACAGCCACATTGTATTATTATCAGTTTTTTCTCTAATACTTTACCAATTCAATATTTTATAACATAAATGTTTCACCTTCCCTGATTTATCAACCTTTATATTAAATTTAGCATTACAAATTCCTATTATTATTATTATTATTCAAAATTCATTACCAAAAAACCCTCTAAATCATATAAATTCATTGTTACAGTTAATTAATATTCAATCCTAGGGACCTTTATATTAAATTTAGCATTACGAATTCCTATTATTATTATTCAAAATTCATTATAAAAAAACACCTCTAAATCATATAAATTCATTATCACAATTAATTAATATTCAATTCTAGCATTCTAACACCTTTAAACATATTTAATTTATTTTAACCATTTCAACCATCCTAATTTATCCTAATCACCACTAATTTTTAACTAAACAAGAAAAAAATATAAACATGTCTATATATAAACAAATTCCTACAACAGACAAAGCTATAGCTAAATAAATAAATAGGTTTTAGGTCGTTTTTCCATCTGACATCTGAAGAAAGCTGGTCTTTCTATTTTTTATATAATTAATTTTTCTTCAACATCTGCAATCTATTTTTCAGTCTCAGCATGTCTACATGTCTTCGTTCTTTGCATGT